ACTTTAATTTTTTTTATAATTTAAAAAAAGATTTTGTTAGTTAAGTAAAAATATATAAGTCCAATATAACAAAATCCTTATTGATAGGTGCAAGAGCTTTCATGCATGCTACAATAAAAAAATCATCTATTATCATATATGCCACATCCATTTCTATTGGTAGAAAGACTAGAAGCAGCATTTCAAGTCAATACTAAGATTATTAAGATGTTTTTGAAAAAAATAATGTAAATATTCTTCCACAACATTGTCTATATGATTGTTCAATTGATCTTCAAGAAGAAGCTCAATTAATATTTGGACCAATCTATAATTTATTATCAAACAAATTTTTTACACTCAAGAAATGCATTGAGAAGAACTTAACTAAGAACTTTGTATGCCATTCAATATCTCCAATAGGAGCTTCTATCTTATTTTTAAATAAAAATAATAATAATAATTATTATTATTATTATTATTATTATTAAAAATTTATATGGACTATTAAATGCTCAATAAAATCACCATCAAGAATATATATCTTTTACCTTTGATTTCAAGACTTCTTGATTAATTCAATCAAGCAAAGATCTATTTAAAAATAGATCTATAAGGAGCATACAACTTGATATGCATGAAGAAAGGAAGTAAATAGAAGATTGCATTTTGAACTAGGTATGGATATTTTGAATGTACTATCATACCTTTTGGATTCACAAATATACCAATTGTTTTTTAATTTCTAATAAACGATATTTTTTGAGATTTTCTCAATGTTTTTGTTATCTACTTGATATCTTAATCTATTCTAAAAACATAGGAAATAAATAGAAGACTATGTTTTAAAGTAGAAAAAGTTAACAATTTAGCAAAGAAAAATCTTTGTTGAGAATCACCATTCAAGTCAAAGAAAAAGAGCAACCAATATCCGTGACGTTTTAGAAGCTTTTTTTTCAATTGGAGAGTTTGATTCTTCTTAAATTTTGTATAATTATAAATTATTTATGAATTAAAGTTTTATTGAAATTTTAGTAAATTCATGGTTCAATTAATATTTATTGAGGTTTCAAAATAGCTATAATAATTAATTAAGATATACTTAGGATTTTACATGGAATTATTTAGGATTTTTTAAAGATTTGATTAGGATTTAGGATTTGATTAGGATTTGAATAGAATTTTATTAAAATTTGATTAAAATTGATTTAAGATTTAATTAAAGTTTCGTGAGGATTTAAGATTTGATTAAGATTTACATAGGATTAATTTAAGATTTTATTAAAATTTAATTTAAGATTAAGAATTAAGATTTGATTAAAATTTAATTAAGATTTGATCTAAAATTTGGTCTAAAATTTGATTAAGATTTTATTGAGGTTTGATCTAAGATTAAGAATAGAGAAAGATTAAGATTTATTTAAGACTTGATTAGAATTATATTATAATTCGATTAAGATTTAATTACAAATTTTATTTTTAATATTTTTAAAGATTATTTGACGTTTTTACAAGATTTTTTTATTACATATATTCTTTCAAGCTTAATTTATAATTCTTTATACTTTTTTGTTATTTCTTTGAGATTTATTTTGAAATTTAATTAAAGATTGATTTATGTTATTATAATTTAATTAGAATTTATTTAAGATTCTATTAGAGTTGTTAGAACCTTTTTTTTTAAAGTTCCTTTTTACCTTCTATAGTTAGATGCCTAATGTATTCTCAAGCAAACTTCACAAAATACAACAACGTATTCTTTAAGTTCACCATAACTTCTTAGTATCATGACATTTTGGATACAATAAGACTTTGGAGTTAATATCTAGAGATTTTTTAGTGGCTTCAAATGTAAAAAATAATCAAAAACTTTATACAATTATGTGACACTTGTTTAAGATAAAAAATTCCTTATCATTGACTTAATGGATTTTTTTAGCCATTACATATTTTAAAACAACTATGGTTTTTTGTTTCTAAAGATTTTATCGTAGATCTTTCAATCTCGATTTCTTATGATTTTATATTTATAATAGTAGATTATTTCATCATGATGGCATATTTTGGACTATATATAAAATCTATCATATACCAAAAAAAAAAAAAAAAAAAAATACTACCTCTTAAAAAAATCTAGATTGTAGATAATAATCAAGAATTGTATAATACTAGATTGTAGATAATAATCAAGAATTCAATATGGGAGATGTCTCATATTCAAGGCGGTGCCAAAATAAGTTGAAATATCTTGTTCATTGGAGTGGGTATGAAATTAATGAATGTACATGGAAGCTAGCCAAGGATCTTAAAAACATAGCAAAAAAAATTAATACTTTTCATCAACAACATCTATCGAAATCAAGATAAAGAATATCAAATCTTTATTATAAAAAAAATGTGATTCAAGAAAGATTGTATTTTACTTTCTATTCTTCTTTGTAATTTTTATATATTTGTGGCACTAAAGAAATAGAGAATCAATAGCTAGTAGATTCAACTCAAGAACTATCATTCGTTTACTTATTAAACAAGATATTGTGATTATCAGAATCTTCAATATAACATAATATAAACAATGGCCTTCAAGAATGATACATTATTCCTCAAATAGATGGTAAGATACAATACATTTGATATCACAACCTTAAAAGTGACTCCCAATGTTTGGTGATTTTATTAGAAATAAGAACAACTCTTAATAGTGTTATAAATATTTTATTTAAAAGAAGTTATGAAAGCCTCAACAATAATTAAATAATATGGTAGTCTTTTTGTTTTAGAATAGGAAATTATCAATAGCTAAGAGGACTTATCAACTACTTTTGAAGAAAATAAAGAACAGAGTATGTGGCAAATACAATTTGCTATATTTTAGACTTCATCAACATGTAATTATTACTCTTATTGGAATTTATTTCTAAAAGGGGGAGTAATGTCATGGACATATATATCTACTTAAATAATTATTTAGATAATATAACTAAATAGAGGTAGATAAAAATAAGTTAATTTGATAATATCTTGTAAAAAAGCTTCTTAAAATTTTTATATACTTTATTTCATTTTTATATGAGCCTACAGGAAGTTAATAGGTTAAACACTTGGCTAATAAGTTAGCCATATATCACATGTCTTCATAGCTTGTATTATAAATTGACCATATTGCACACCTATAAGAAACTTACTTTGTAAGTTAAGACACATGTTTTGCAAATTAGGCACTTGTCGGAGGTCGTATAAAACATCACTATGTAGCTTCTAGTCAGATAGTATATATAGAAGCAAGAGTGAAGCCTTCTTCACTCTTACCAATGTCTTTCTAATCCCTATTATTATTTCAAAACTTTCTACTCTTTTTATCTTTGGTAATAGTTATTCTAGTTTAATATTATACCATCTTTGAGTAAACTTGTAGTTTTTTTGAATGATGCAACAATTCAATGATCTTTTAATTCTTTGAGATTTATATTCTTGACACCTATTGACTAAGTAAGTTAAAGAATTTTTAATAGAACAATGACAAATAAACTTCAACAAAGTCCTAAAAAAAAAATCTCCTAACTACACCATTCTCTCATTAATATAAACATGTTAATATTAAAAATAATAAATAAAGGTATGTATATAATTTTTTTTTTGAAAGATGAGTAATTCATAGATTATACCTATATAAATTTGAAGGTTTGCTAAATTAGCCCTGAAATTGTACCAAAAGAGAGCCACTATAAAAGACAATAAACAATAGAAATATTCATTGGAAAGAGAAAATCTTAGGATTGTGGAATTCTGTAAGTTCACAAAAATCTTTAAAAAATAACCACACATGATTCCATTCACATGATTTCACTGTGACTTCAATACAAATAGGAGAATACAAAGTAGACACAACAACTCAGAAATGTTTCTTACACAATTGTGGAGAGCAAGTAGATCATCAACATGAGCATTCGGGGTACTTGACAGTCACAAAAACAGTAATCAGAGCATACTATACAATATTTTGATGCCGTCTTTGGAGTATAACACACAAACTACACAAAAACAGTTCCCAGAATTCACAATTCTCCACCTAGCCTCGAGGTAGCCTAATCAATTGCAAGTAAAGAAGGGCTGCGTCCAAACTCCGATGAAAGCATGGGAAGAAATTGGCGACAAAAGACTCATTGGACCCAATGTAATGCTGCATGGTAGACCGCATATTTGGTGACTCTTACTTCGGAAGCTGGATACGACAACTTGTTCTACGTTTGTTGGAATTCTTTAAACAGTGTGAGTATATATAGGACCAGCACATCGACATTTTGCAGTGAGAAATAGTTGACTCCATTGAGCTTCCGAGTTGTTTTCGAGCTGATAATATGGGTGACATGCATGAAAGGATCTTACCGCAAGTTGGAGACGAAGTTGGTGAATCCGAAGCCTGACTCGAAGCTGAAAACCCTGTCGACGGGATTGAATCGCTGAAGATAGGCTTATGCAGGCTTTGTCTTGTAGGTTGTGTGAGGGTTTTTACACACAAGTGGAGTCGCCGATTGATAATGGAGAACTTGCTGAGGGTTGCGGCAGTCTGTGGTGCTGTTCCGAAGCACAATATGCGGTGGGGTGGAAGGCAATCGCTACCCCGCTTCACATGCGTAACGACCCTGTTGTAGGTGATTTGGTAGCTCACATCGTCTACAGAAGTTGCCGCCTTGGCATTTTATCACCATGCACTTTATCAAACTGTCAACCGTTTCCACGATGAGTTGACGATTCCCGGCCTGCATTGGTGAACAGGTTGAACAGACATTGACAATATGTCGCCCATATGTAACCACACAAAATCATTGACGATCCTTTTACGACCCGATTTCTGTCGATGACGCTTCCTTCTGAACTTAATGATCGTCTTGTCGAAACCCTAATCTGACAACGAACCCGCTCAAGGGCATACGATGAAGCGGAGGCGTCGAGATGGAGGACAAGGTGGTGGTGATTGAGAGCGGATATGAGCATTCACAGGGCACGCATGATCCACTAAGCAAACGCACAAACTGCCCCATCGGTCCTTGCACTGCGTTTTTTACAATGTCCATCCAGTGCCGTTGGGAAACATGTATAATTCTTCCCCTAAGACCCCGGAGTTTGGTTTCATGGTCTCCGTCATTGTGATCAACAGACTGTGGAGCTTGTTTTACCGCAACCAGCTCGGCGACCACGATCCTTCTCGAGCTACTACCTCGGCGAGCTCTCTCGCCACTCTAGATATCACTCGCTCTGCAGGAGCGACTCGAAATTGGTCAATCTCAATCTTCGCAGGGTCCTGCTTATGTTTATACGTGATGAGATACAGAAATTCCTAACTAATTTAAATTTAAAACAATTTTCGAGAACAAAAACTCGAATAAGCTGCAACGTTGTCGTTTCCGGAGTGTCGGAGAATTTCGACAGTGCAAGGATGTTTGAAAATATCGAACCTGGCTCGGGGATGGCCAAGCTGTGAAGCTTTTTAAACACAAAGACGCATCACACACAGTCACAAGTATGTCAAAGAGGTGAGCTAAAATGATACAACCAAAAAAACAGAATAAAAAATAGCCCTCCTCCGATTATGCAGTCTACAGTGTGTCCGAATTAATCCAAACACAATCTACGACTGGAATTAGCGTTAGTAATGCAACCAAAGAAAACGACGAGATTCTCTTCAGCTCCTGCTCTTTGAACCCATGTCTGCTAAAACTTCGCATCGAATTACAAAATTGGTAGGAATCCATGCAGGGTCTCAGAGCTAAATCCGGAACGTCTCATTCGGAAATTCAATTGCGAGAGCGTGCCTGTGACAAAGCAAAGACGCTCCGCGAGAAGCTGAAGTGAATGTAACAGATGTAAAGATAACTCGCTATTTATGTAATCCTGAGGTACATATGCCTTGGAGTATTTTTTGAGAGTTCATCGGAATGTCATGTACGGGCCGTTACGGCGATAGAATAGACTCTTCCCTTCCAGGTAGCCCGGTTACTCTCCGACTCCAATCCAGTTCCACTCCCCACAGCACGGCTTCCGGTTTTGCCCAACTCGTTTTGAAGCTTGAAACGGTCTGCAGATGGAGAACGGCGATGCAGACAGCATTGAGGATGGCAATGTGGCCACCTTGTCGGAGTACATTGACGACATCGAGGCGCAGGAACTGGTATGTACCTCTGGAATTTCCTCAACGTCTCTGTGATCATGTTGTAGCTGGATGCGCGAGTTTTGGGCATGGTGCGTTAGAGTGAAAGAGTTTTTGACGAATTTTCAAGTGGATGCGGCGTTGGGGTTTTTCCTTCTTCCTGTTTATGGCCGTAAGGGCCATGAACTTACCAAACTCTGCGTAGTTTCTTCGCTCGGTAAGGCAGTCTCTGCTTGTAAAGAACGTTTAATGTATCCAATAGCGGGCGATCGGTGAGCGTCCTTGAGGAGAGTGTGTAATTGAAGCGCCACAGTCGTGGTTTAACCTAAATAGGGGTTACAAGACAACTTTTGGGTGTTCGACAGGAAGCCGATCTTGTGCTCGGTGGGGACGAAGGCAAAGAATGTACTTACAGGCAGGGGTACATGAAGAGGCAAGCCGTGTTCGCATGTCTCACCTGTAAACCCGATGGAGGAGCTGGTTTCTGTACCGCGTGCTCCTTAGCGTGTCACGACGGTCATGAGGTAGTGGAGCTTTGGACACGACGACATTTTCGATGTGACTGTGGAAACTCCAAATACGGAGAAGGTATCTGCAAGCTACAAGCCAACAAGGACATTGAAAACTGTGAGAACAGCTACAACCAGAACTATACAGGCGTTTATTGCACATGCCACCGTGTATATCCAGATCCAGACCCCGGCAGTGAAGCCTTGGGGGAGATGCTGCAATGTTGTATCTGCGAAGACTGGTTTCATGAGCGCCATCTTGGCCTCCCGCCCACCCTTCAGGTTTGTGGTTCTCGTCTGACGTTTTTTGCAACTTCTGCAATTTAATTAATTTTTGGTACTAGTTTCATTGCATAACCCTAACCGCCTGCTGCAGTTTCCAAGAGACGACGAAGGAGAGCCTACATTTGAGGAGATCATATGCCAGGCTTGTGTGCCGCGATGCTCATTCCTGTCAAAATACCCCGAGGTTTTGATTCAGCCAATTGCAGATGAGCATGTCGAGTGCGTTGAGGTTAAAGAAATTAAAGCAGGTAACCTTGACGACTTCTTGTCCATCAATATATAAGTGGAAAACAATACTGACACGACCATCATCGATACGTTCTAATATGAGCAGATTTAGTTGATTCTTTATGCAGGTGCTGAGGAGAGGATAACTGATGTTCACGAGTCTGAGCGCCACGTTAACGGAAGTTGTTCACAGAATATCAAATCTGAGATTGCCTGTGAGTCCTCGAATGGAGGTGCAGTACATGCCTGCAAAGCAGACCTTGAGAGACGGGAGCCAGTCCCTGAGTCCTCAAACGAAGGTAATGCTGGTGATGGTCCCTGCAAACCAGACCACGACATGTCTGAACCTGCGAGTGATGCAAATGGAGATCATTGCTGTGCATTGAAAGAGGGAGCTTCAAGTGCGGCGCTTGAACCTGGTCGGCCAGTTTTTCTGAGCAAAAGCTGGAGATCGCAGCTGTGCAGGTGTTCCTCATGTCTGCTCATGTATACAGAACGGCGGATAAATTTCCTCTTGGATCCGGAGGACACATTACAGGAGTACGAAGCGTGTGCAAAGCGGAAGAGGGAGGAGTCTCGGGATTCTGTGGGCTCAGATTTCCTCAAGAATTTGGGTCATGTGCAGAGGATTGAACTTCTCCACGGTCTCAACGACATGACCGCCGAGCTCAAGTCCTTTCTGGTATCTTCCTCTTCCTTTTCCCACTCCCTCCTTCAATCATCCATGCTTTTGTCGATATCATTTTTCTCTCATTCACAAACCAGCCTTTTACTTCGACCGCCGCTGTGCGTAAGGAACTACAATTACAAGGAGTAATCGATCAACGAATTTATGGTTTGATTGTTTGCTTTTCTTAACTGCAGACACCATTCGGTGAAACTGGAAAGACCGTCACAAGTGCTGACATCCAAGATTTCTTTGAGAGCCTCAATAGCAAGCGGCGTCGCCGAAACTGAGAGGGCCAAGCCATGTCTCACAGACTGAATGTTGTGCACTTTCTACAAAACATGGTTCTCATGCATTTTTCACTTCAGTGGATTCCTCTCCAGCTTTGGGATTTAATGTGTGGGTGCTTTGCAGATTGACAACAGTTTTCCCAACTAACGTTTTCTCTGTGGCTGCTTGTTTTACTGATTTTCGATTGGATTGTATCATTGCCAGTGTCGTCTATTGATGAACCCTTTATGACCCATTTAGTGAAGGCCTTGAAATCGTGTACCCACTGAAACATGCTAACGAGATGTGAAGTTCAAGGTAATAGTTCTACGTCTCCGAAATTTTCTTGCTTCGTCATTAATTTCCATCGCTTCTTATTTTACGTTCAAATTACCGTTGTACTTGGCTGGTGTGACTTCATCCTGCCGGATGTGCTCTCGAAACATTGGTTAATCAACTCGAAAAGTGCGAACAATCCACTTAATCGGACCAAGTTGTTGTCACTGGAGAAGTATAGTTGCATAAGTTTGTCAAGTTTGGAATCAAGTCTAAGCTTTTGTTTGGAACTAATAATGCTCCTCCCATTACTAATCCCCCGAAAACTAATAACCTCTGAATTCTAATAATATAGGCCATGGTGAGGCCATTTGGTTAATTGTGATGATAATAATTGCAAGAATCTTAGTTGTTGCATTCAAAAATATTTCACAATACTTCAATATGATTTCAAACATTGAAAGTTATTTCTAAATTTTAAATGAATGGCAAGCAACCTCTTATTTTGAAATGCATTTATAGTTTTAAAACAACATGTATCTCTAAGATACTGCAAGTTTGAAGGTATTTGAATATTTTGATGTATCCGAACGATAAACTTCTATGGTTAATGCCTATTTTTAATTCATTGTGTGGATAAGTTGGTTACTTCTTTTTTAGTATGTAAATTCTTTTTGTCAACGAATCTTATATATTGTATATACAATTGCTGCATGGTATAAATTTCTGTGTTTGTTTTTTAACATCTATCACGATGTATTAATCTTCTAGGTTTAAATATGTGTGATCTATTACTATGCTTAAAATCAAAAAAAATTAACATGGTCACCAAATTAAAAAAGTAGATATTTCTTTGTTGTTGTATTGCTGTTTTAAATATTGAAACAAAAAATATAAATATAAATAATTTTAAAGAAATCAAATTTTATTTGTATAAACATATTAATTTTTAAAATTCTTTAAAATCCAAATTATTAATTACTGGAAAAAAATGAAGTGTATTTATACAAAAAATAAAAACAAGAAATTTTTTTTTTTTACAAAATTATGTATGTATATATATACATATATAACTTAAAAAAATATCATAAATTAAATATGAAAAGAAAGGAATATTTTAATATTTCATTAAAAAGTTTTTCTTACTAAAGTTGTCTGGTTATTGACAATCTGTATCATTGTTTATCTTTATCGCAATCTATTTATTAAAAAAAAAAAGCTCATTTTATTAGTAGTTTTGCAAAATTTATCAATTGAAAAAATTTTAAAATTGTACTTGAGAAATTAATAATTTTTATGGGTGCTTAAGAAAGATATTATAACTGAAAGATTTGCAACTTCCTATTGGAACTTTTGCAATCTATATTGTCTCGTTAATTTCAAAGATTGAATACTAAGTAGATCTAATATAAATAAATAAAAAAATCTACAATATCTTGAAGGTTAAACAATTCAAACAAGAATTGAAATTGAAGATTGAAAGATTAATCTAACTTGGAAGGAGTAGAATTTAAAAACTCAAATAAAAAGAATGAAGGATCTATAATCTAAAATAAGAACAATATAATTAAAGCTTGAAGTCTATAAAGTCTATATTGATTTGGCAAGAGATTTGTTGATAAACCATGCATGCCTACAAGTAATACTACAATCTTTTTGAGTGGTTTTGTCAACACCAAAGAAACCTCCTATATTAAGTAATAACATTCAATCAAAACAAATTATAAATATAAAGAGTTATTTTTTGTTAATAGAGACACTAAAATATACTTACAATTAGAATTTGTGGAATAAAGTCTTCTTATGCATAAATAAATCAAACAAAAAGATGAGATTTTGCATACAAAGTTAAAAAGAATATAGAAGTTAGTCAAAATTTAGAGTAGAAAGCACTTTTTAGTAAAGGTAGCAAAGCACAGTAATATTATGTTGCAAGAATATTTTTTGGCATATATCCTCATTGGAGATTTAGATGCCCATTTCATATTGTGTTATTATACAACAAAATTTAACTTTTCAACAAAATAATAGAAAGAATGCTAATATGATATTATTTAATATACTCATATGAATAGTATTTAAACTACATATAATTATAAGAAATTATTAGCAAATAATGTTGGTTAGTTAATGTGAGCAGTGAGAAGAGGAACCTCCGAAAGTGCCCATGATGGCGAAATGCGAAGAATTTATTGAAGCTCCAAATCTGACGTCGGCAGACTTACAAACATGTTGGCTGACGAAGACGTGAGTCAGGATCCGACGTGGCAGGCACATCTTCATTAGCGACGAATCAGGCTGAGTTGGCAGCCCATCCACGTACGCAACTGCCTAGTAAGTGGCAACACTACTGCACCTACAAAGGGAAGGCCAGGCCACTATCGCCTTTCCCCGTAGGTGCGTTTGAACTGGGAGGCTTTGTTGTTGTTGTGAGATGCGGAGCTTTTTTGCAGCGATCGCCGTCCGCTGCCGTGAATTCGCCGATTCTTCCCGTTTCTCGCATCGGTAGTTTGCCCTCTATGATGGTGCCCAAGCCGGCCTCCAGCTGGGCCCGATTGATCACGACCGGCTTGCTTCGTCGTCCGTCGCATCCCTTCCACGCTTCGCGCTCCACCATTGCTCCAGTTCGATTTCCTTCTTCGCCGTCGTGTGGTCCTTTCGCTTCCGTCTTGCGCGAACGCCAATTCTGCTCGAGTTCCTCTAGCGGCGACGAGAGCGAGGATCATCTTGATGAGGTTTGCGTTGTGCTTAACTGCACGTCTCGTTTTGTTCATGTTTTATCTACGGAGGTTTACATGAGATTCTGTGATTTTTTTTAGACGGATGTCTCGCATGTACGAGGAGAGTTACAGATTGTGGAGATGTGTTGCTTTTTTATTTTTTTGTTAGTAGGATGGTTTTAAGCGTATTGGGATCAAAACTTGTGCTCCATGTGGTGGTATCTTGCTAATTTGGCTAGAGGTCGTTTGTGAAGATGCATCTGGTGTAGCACAATCAAACTATATCTTCGCATTTTTCTTTAAAAAGATTCTATATTTCATTCCAGCATAATTCTATGGATCGATGGAACAGAGCAGTGTATGAAAATTGTGTCATTTCGGGATGTATCAGTTGTATCAAAGAGCTGGAAGCGATTGCTTGACTTTCCGCACGAGATAGTGTGCAATTCAATGGCCCGATTTTGTGATTTACCCAAGTTATTTTTTATTCGCAGTTTCTCGACTTTCCTGGGGCTAAGGTTGGGTTTATCAACAAAATCAAGTTCACAGCGGAGCGACCGCAGGAACCGGTGCCCTGTTTTCGTGTCCTGGACGATCATGGGCGCCTTATAAAGGATGCTTACATGCCAGAGGTTGGTAGATGCATCACGACATGTGCTAACTTAGACAACAACGAAGCATTTATCTATTTTCCTTCACATCCATTTAGCTATCTGGCTAGCTGTCTTTCTTTCTTGCTTGCATTCTGCTACGAACAATCAATTGCAATCTCTGCTATGGATGCATGCTACCATCATTTTTGGATATATTCAGCATGGTTTTTGATCTCATGTAGACATTTGGATGATGTAATCCAGGTGGATAAGCCTCTTGCAATTAGGATGTACCAAAATATGGTGACCCTTCAGGTTATGGACACTTTATTCTTCGAAGCGCAGCGACAAGGTCGGTTCTCGTTTTACTTGACCACGTTCGGAGAGGAAGCCATCAACATTGCGTCTGCAGCTGCACTAAATAATGACGATATGGTGTATGCCCAGGTGAACTGATCTCAGGCATCTTTTGAATCCCCTAAGGGCTTAGATTAAAACAAGACTCGAACGAAACCTATGCAGGGCTTAAGCAGTGATACAAGAAACTATTCCGAGCTTTAATGTTCAAATTGGAATGTGCACGTGTTGTGATCCCTTTCTCTACGTCTCACAATAGATAAATTGACTAGAACATTTTGTTTCGATTCTTATGCAGTATCGAGAACCAGGCGTGCTGATGTGGCGAGGTTTCACCCTTAAAGAGTTTGCCAATCAGTGTTTCTCGAATGTTGCTGACTACGGTAAGGGTCGTCAGATGCCGGTGCACTACGGCTCAGCAAAGCTTAACTACCCTACTGTTTCATCACCTATCGGGTGAGGCTTCACCTGCTCTTCAAAAGCCAAGTTTAGCTTGAATTGATATTCATAGATCAAGTTACGTCATGATCTGTAGTGCTACTGAGATCCTCTGCACTTTATGTCGTGGCTTGATCTCGGAATTTTTTGTGTCCAGCTCGTACATTGCGAACATGTTGTTCAAATTAATGGATTTAAGTCTCTAGGCGCATCTATCCTGTGGTTACCCACATCTGATATGTCTGCTACGAGCTTTTGCAGAACGCAGCTTCCACATGCGGTTGGTGCAGCATATGCTTTCAAGATGGACCAGAAGCCCCTTTGCACGACAACTTTTTTTGGCGAAGGTGCTTCAAGTGAGGTATGTAATTCGCTGATTTTGTACCACAACATCAATTTGGAGGTTCGCCATGTACGATCACTTTTAACGCCTGCAATCCTTCACGAAAGGATGACGATTTCATTTTTGTTTTTTAGTTTTTTTATTTATTTTATTTTATTTTTCTCGAGTGCATTTCAGTGCAGTCATTTTTGGTGAAAAAACCGATGGTAATATTTGACCTCAGACGTTGACGAGCTCCCCGTCTTCTTCCAGGGTGATTTTCACGGGGCGATGAATTTTGCAGCTGTTCTAGAAGTACCTGTTTTATTTATATGCCGTAATAATGGATTCGCTATCAGCACTCCAGCTTCCGAGCAGTTTAAGAGTAAGATGCACCTCTTTGACTGATGTACCCATATATTATCTTTACAGTTTCGGCCCTCTCCTTTAGAAACTTACTGTTGAATGTTCTGTGTGTACATATTAGAAGGGTTTCGATCTCGTCTTTGAGAAGTGGTAGATCTTCAATTCATTGTACTATTCAACTAATGTCAACTTTAGTTAGTGTAGTGAATATTTTTTATATTTCCGCCATTGTACTTGTCTCACTAGCTGTTTGAATGAGAAGGTGATGGGGTAGTTGCGAAAGGTCACGCATATGGAATGAGAAGCATACGTGTTGATGGCAATGATACTCTTGCAATGTATGCTACGGTCAAAGCTGCACGAAAGATGGCCGTGGAGGAAAGCCGACCCATCCTTATCGAGGTAGAGCTAAAATTCACTCTCTATTTCTCTAGCAGACCCAAGAACATTTTTTCCTTTCAACTGGGCACTAAGTTGTTCACCACACTATATCGAAGTAAGTGTTGTACGGACCTTGAACACGTTCAGCATTAAACTTGTTTGCTCTTCGTTGCTAGCTGCTGAAATCTTGCCCAATTGGATTGAAAACAGGCATTGACGTACAGAGTAGGTCATCACTCAACATCAGATGACTCTGGTAAGTACCGCAAGGGTGACGAGATGCAGCACTGGAAAACAATGCGTGATCCAGTTTTGCGTTTCCGACGTTGGTTGGAAGGAGAAGGATGGTGGGACACGGATGCAGAGCAGAAGCTTCGATCCGATGCACGCAATGAGGTTTGCCATTCGTTAATTCATCTAGTTGTTTGCAGATACCGATTACAGAGTTGAATTTGCTGCTGGTTCGACCAGGTAGCATGCTAGTTCTCTTTTATACTCAGAATCCTGGAATTAAGTCGGCTTAGTCGGTATGATTGGTGAGCCTTTGTTGCTGTCGTGCTTGACTAACTTGAAAGGTTTGCTTTTTTTGTGAATATATCAACCTGGAGCTGATTTTGGGATTTTGCTACTGGTGGTTCAGGTCATCTCGGCCTTGCAGAGTGCGGGCAGTCAAATGAAACAACCCCTAACAAATTTGTTCACGGATGTATATGACACCATTCCCAGAAATCTCATACAACAAGAAAAGGAACTGAGATCAACTGTGGGAAGACATCATGAGGATTATCCATCTGATGTGCCCTTGTACTGATATCTTAAAAGATGAAGCTTGAAAGATATCAGGTGTTGATATGCCTTGCGATTGTGAATCCATACGTTAGATACTATTCAACAGGTCAGAAGCTTCTGAGTGCTACCTCCACAATGACCTATCTGTTTAATATGCACATCTGTACATTCTGTTCTTGTAATATAAATTCTCTCGAAGCAGTAGTCAGCGGATGAAGCAGTTGTCAGAAGGATTAAGCAATAGAGTTTCACAAGCATAGTTGAAGTCACTGCTGGGTAGCACAAGCGCTGCATAGACCAACTTAGGATTGAATACTGGTTTGATAGAGGGAATCTTTGGAACCCTTATTAAAAAAGTGGAGCTAGAATCATAGTGCTTCGTCTTCCTACTAATTTCTTACCTCTACAATTTCACGATAATTAGTGATATGGAGATTTCTTTGGATTTGAAAACTGATCTTTTTTTTCAAGGCTTGAGATTTTAATCAATGACATCAATGAACAGCAAAAGCATGGCTGATGAGCTTATTGCATATTTTCACATCTAATTCTATTAGCAATTGTAGTTGTTGTAACCAAGCAACTAAAATGTGGAGCATCCACTCAAAGACAAGTGTTAAACTACCAGCAGTCTTCGAAACAAGATTATCATGAACCCCTCAAGAAGCGGCTGGAGTAGTCTTCGATTTCTACTAGGTTTTTGTTATAATCAATGCTCTCAACTCTTCTTTCTTACTAATGAAATCCACAGCCATATGCTGCGTTTATGAGTATAAAAATCAAAAGGGCATTACATTAAATTTAGCATGCTGTTGTGCTATCTGTACTGCTTATAATACATCCTGTCTCCATTTCAAAATACTAAACAAATACGTGGTGTGTGCAAGCATTTATCACGTGGTACCCAATTGTGCCATGCCTACAAACATCGATAATAATTGCTAACGTACAAGTCAACTTTAGTGCCAGTTGATGTTATGCTATGATAGGTAAACAGTTTGTAAATGAATTTTTCTTCAAAATTATTTGATTATACGGCCCTCATTAAAGCTTACACGCTAAGAACATTCACACTAAAGCTAATTCAAAAATTTGTTAGCCAGACTAATTGTTGTGCTGGTCAAGCTAAATAAACATAAAATTCCATGATTCATTATAAACATTTCTTAATAATTGTGAAGATGATTAAGCGTTATGACATTAGGTATACACAAGCCTGTTCCACTAATATTAACCAGATTGCGCAAAATTGATAGATTTTAGTAGAGATAATCGAAAAACAAACAAGAGATTTCTTTCTTGAATAGGTGGTTGGAGATAACTCTTGATGCAATGTTTGAAATACCTAAACTATGCATCATGCACTCCAAGTAAATGCCCAGTAATGTGGAATACGATTTAGAGACAGGTGCTGTTAGATGTCACTTTTCTATTAAACAAATAAGATTCTAATCGAGGATCAAAACAAATTTCGCATAACCATCATCACTTGTTTAGACACACATTAAGAGAAAAGACATATTGGAGAAGCAAGCATGGCAACGAACACCAACTCCACTTGCATGGATCTTTTTGAAACCATCTGCAAAATGATATTGTTTCTCAGTCTCGCTCATGTCAACTATTTCCAAAACCAGTAAAACGATCTGGGAATCAGTGGCAATCAAGCAATCAACCAGTACAACACTGACTTACTGTTGATCATCACATGATGTAAACAAAAGAAGAATGGATTGTATATTTGTACAGGAACATGATATAGGATGCAGACAGGCATCAAGCAGCTTTGGCACCACAACGATCTAACCCGGGATTACCACTGGCATGTATCTCAGCAAAGATCAGCTCTTGCAATGAAGACCAAGTACTCTCCTGAGGTCTACTAGACTGGCGCAGAAGCATGAAAGCTTGCTCTCTCAGAAAAGGACCTAGACCCTGCGCTAACCTTTGCTTTTCCAATGATAATCTCCGTCGATCTAACTCGGCCATCCTGCAAACAACATGATCTCGTCAGTGACAGAAAATTTGAACAGAAAACATGTACTTTTACATATTAAAGTCAAATGCAGTGTTTCTGACCAGTTGAAATTACTCTAACAGTCAGATAAGCTACGCCCACAACTTAACATCACTGATTAAGCATTAATGGTAAAGTCCAAAAGCGGGCGTACCTCAATGCAACAGAATTCCGAGGTCGGTGAAAATTTGAGTCAGAACCATTGCAGCCCGAAGGTGCAGCACCAGAGTCTTCACGGCGCACCTCCGAGTCACTGTCACATTTCCCAAGCATAATCTCATATACACCGGGCGATTCCACTCAGATAATCGGATATGATACGATATAGTTGTAAAGAGCCGTAGCCGTAAGACGACACCCGAGGAAACTCTAGATCGATTATTCATACAAAGCACTCCGCTAATTTTATTTTGGGTTTAAAAACTTTTCGGCGATACGTACAAGGTCCACGATGCTGTACATACCAGATTCTACTGCAAGTCTCCGTGGCATTATGGTTAAGTGTCGCACGGACACCAAAGTTTACTGTTGCGGACGAGCCTCTGGAGGAACTTCTGTGCCTAGTAAAAGTGGTGCTGGAAGTTGTCTTCTGGTGCGGCACCTGTCATCGCAACGGAAGGAACATGTAGGTTCAAGGAAGAATAAACATAAAGCAAATGTCACTTGAGAGAGAAGAAATGTTGAACAGAGAACCACAAAATGTCATTGAGCTGTAGATGCAGCACAACGAGACGAAATGCAAAGAAACTCACCTGATTCATAATGCCGACTCCCGACAGACAGAGGGGCAGTCCACCTCCCTTCGACATCTCCACCCGACAAAAAAAAAACGGCTTCTGTCGAAAGTTCGACGGATTCTGAAGTTGTATTCTACGCCTTGTCACCCTACGTAGATTTCAATCAAATGTCTTGCTGATCTGCAACCGCAGCCTTCAAAGAAATCTACACTCTTACGATCTGAGCATGCGACTGCAATGCAAGAGATCCGCACACAGCCAGCACCAGACCTCCGAAAACCTGCCTCAAAATAACCGAGAATGTCCAATACCACGAAGCCGATCCAAACAGCTCCTACGATACACGACACAGAACCAGAGCCTCCCCTTCGCACATTCCACAAAAAGACTCAGGGAACGTAACCCAAAGAGAAAAGAACCCCGATCGGTAGAACCCCTAGTTTACAACCACTAAAAGAAGCTGGCTGAGGCTGCGGTGTAACGCGCTTCCCCGCCTTCGACTTCCACCCACCTTCCTCCAAAAAAACCTACAAAGAAAACCTCGCAAACGAGACCACCGTCTGGGAGAAAATCTACAGGCAAGATCGAGGATCGGGAAGCTCAGAGAGGGTTAAGTCTGCGAAAGCAAACATTGCTATGTAGCCCGTCCTCCGAATGCCACGAGCAGATTTCGCAGCACAGAGCACGTCGGCAGGGACTGCGTCAACGCAGACCACCCCAGCAGAGATAACATGTACCCTTGACGGAAAAGGGGGAAATGAGAATCCGAAGAGTGGAAAACGGCAAGTGCTCCGGAGCAGCAGCATCGATAGAGAAAGAGAGTGAGCGCGAGGGTGTGGCGATGGCAGCAGCAGGACGAGGTTGGTTGGTTGTTGGGGTGTGGGCGCGGCGATGGTGGCAGTGCCCGTGGCCAGCTCCACCATAGGGACGCGACGCAACGCGACGCGAGACAACTGCTGCCCTGCAACAGGTGGCGACTCGCTCAAAGTCTCGTCCTGAATCTCGACCTGAGTCTCAAAAAGTGGGCTGGAGATGCAAGGCTGGACCACAGCGACGTTCTCTTCTAGTTATCTGTCCATCTAGTCGGGAACTGGTCCACGTAATTGTCCTCGGCGTTCCTCCCTCGTTCCCCTTCACGTTCCCTTCGAGTTCCCCTTGAAGAGCTGCCCAGCCTTTCCAATATATGTCTGTAAATGTGTGTGGGTGTAAATAAATAAAAAAGAACATGAACTTGTGCTTCTGAATTTTGAGTACAGCTTTCTCATATTTGAAACATATTTCAATTTTTCATTATTTGTGATTTACGTTCCCAGACAATTTTAATTTTATTTTTTTGTCATTTTGAATTATTTTTTCTTTAATTAGATTAATTTGTGTGTTTTTAAAAAGTTTCATTGATTCAAAACAAATACTATTTATTCTATTTTCTTAAAATAAAAATATTCTTTACATTATTCATAGAATCAAAATATACAATACAAATAACAAACTAAATTTTATATCATTACAATTTTAAATAACCTTATTACAAATAAAAAAACATTAATGTTAAATAACCTTTTACATATTGAATCATGCTCCAAATGATTAAACTTGGATAATACATATATATATATATATATATATATATAGAGAGAGAGAGAGAGAGAGAGAGAGATAAGAATATTAAATTGACCTTGGCTATTACTAAATTGACCCACCCATCTTAACCATAATGAAAAATAAATAAATAACTAAAATAACCTCTAGATTCATTTCTCTAATAAAAAAACAACCACATTCCTCTAATACTAGATCCACAACCAATAAAAAAAACAACCACATTCATCATGATTACCATATTCATCATCATGTGTGGATCAATTTAGTAAAATCATAGGTCTATTTAACATTCCCATATATATATATATATATATATATAAAAGATCTTGATGCTAAAACATTGATCCCAATCCCACTTTGGCTACCTTAATATGTAATTTGTTATAGATTTTGTTTAAACATCTTTTTGGTTGGCCTTTGATTTATTCATATCTCATCCTTCAATGTTTTTAAATTTTAAATTTTTGTGGATAGGTGCAAAGAGTAGCTTTGCATTTTTCTATATTTCAAATTATTTTTATAACCACTTTAGATTATGATTAGATTTATATTTGTAGCAATTAATAACATTTCATAAATTTATTTGTATTACAAAGAATTTACAGATTTTATTGTAAATAAATTATTCTATTCAATTATTATCTATTTTGCCCGTGTGAGATTATTTTGCATAGACTTTTTAGATTCCAAAATAAAATATTATTATTTTATTTTTGAATATTTTTCTTAGTCATTTTTTTATCAGTTATTATTTATTTCGAAATAACTCATAAATCACTCAGCATTCAATTATTTAAAAATAATATTTTACTTATTGTGCTGACATATAAATAAAAGGTTAATGATTTATATATTAATAAATTAGTTATTTATAAAATAAACAAATATACACATTAAATAAGAAAATAAAATTTTATATCAAAATACCAATGTTGTTGAAATAAATCCAAAAGTAATATCACATCTACACAATTGTTTATTTATTATATTTTTTTTAGATCTATTGTTAAATTTTAAAATTTATTTATTTTTATATTTTGAGTTTTTTTTTTATTTTACTTTTTTTATATAGATCATAAAATTTTCCATCCATATGTGTATAAATCTAAATAAAAAAATAATTTTTTTATATATTATATAACAGTTTAAGCATATACTGGTATAATTCAGAATACATTTGGATTTTTAAAAATATAACTTCTAATTTTTTTTTTTTTTTTTTTTTAAATCCTTTACCAAAGCATAATATAAGTTTTGTTAATACTATTTAGAAGCATATGCATTAAAGGATATTTTAGCATAAAAACATAGTGGTTTGTGACACATTTACTAAATAAAGAAGTTATTTTAAATAAGTACTAAGAGATATATCCAATTCTTGAGTTTGATCCACCGTTATGTAGCTTTATTTAATAACTTTCAACAAATCAAAGATATCTCCTTTATATTCTTTTGACAAGTTACAACTTCTTGTGAATATGTTCTTATTACTTTACTATCAATTTTCAATTTCATCAGCATTTTTCTCCATCAATACATCCTCTCTATCTAATACTTCTTATTAGCAAACTCAAATACAATAGAAGATAGAATAGGACATGATTGTTATTTTGTCCTTAACAGATGTAATGATGTAGTACTTATAAAGAGGCCCCTCTAATGTAGGACAAATTGTTTGATGTAGGACATTTTTCCACAACAAAAAAAGAAAAAAAAGAAAAAAAAGAAAAATGTTTCCTGTATTAAGACAAAGTTGAAAGATGACAACATTAAATGCAATCTAACAAATTTCTCATTGGAAGGGGTGTTGCACACCAAACAATGCCTTTTGCTTCACTACAAGAGAGGAAATAAAAAAAGAAAAAAATAATTCAATTTTAAATTATTAGTAATATCTAATAACATATTGCCTTTAATTATTAGTGGAAGTTTTGTGCCTTACATAACTTAAGACAGGATATGTAAAACAATGTCCTACATTGGAAGAGTGTGCTTGTGAACCACAAACAAGACCAAAGTTTGAATATATCAAATATCACATTTGTATCTGGAGCGAAGGAATTCACCACAAAACTCAGCTTGGCAAACAACTTTGGTACTCCAATTAAAGGGCCCCACAGCAACGCCAGGAACCCTCAAAGGCGGCGCTTTTAAAACCCACTACTTTTTTCTTATTGAGTAGCAGTAAGTTTTACTTTTTGGGATGCTTAACCCAAAAGTTTTCACAACTGGGTACCAGGATGAGTGCATTAAACATAACGCCGTCGTCCAGATACTCCTCCTCGGCGTGTTCCCCAATGCATTGTTTACAGAAAAGACAAAGAAAAGAAAAGAAAAGATTAGGATGAAGATGATTTTCTTTTCTTTTCAGTCGATCATCTTCATCCTAACCTTTGTATTCGAAGACTACGGGCTTGAGGTCTTGTCTAGCTTACATGCAGTTCTGTTGTCTCCTTTCTGCCTTGCACTTCTGGCAAGTGAACCTGTTTGTTGGAGTATATCGCATTTCGGGTTTCCGAGAATCTATACTTTCTAGCACAAGAGCACGACGCTCACGATCAGAGTCGGCTTCTTCACCTAGTGTAAAGAGTACATTCACTATAAATATACATTGTCAAGACAAACGGCGCCTTCTTCAGCATTACCTTCACCGGCTCTTTCTTTCCTCTAGACCTGCAGTATCGGGGCCCCACCTTCCAGCTCATGGTTACTTGCAATGTCCGTGATCAGATACACTTGTTGATACGTCAGTGATACGAAACCTGAAGTCCAGGAAAAATCAATATGGTGAAGATTATCTGGTGCTAACAAATCAACTCTATGATGCGATATGGAGCTCAGTACTTTCATCAACATGGTCTGGGTTCTAGACTTTCCCCTGGTCCTCTTCTTCCTCCTCGCAATCAGCCTCCATAGTTCTACCTTCGTTGTCCGCCTAGTAAGCTCATCCCGCTACGTGAACTCTTGAAGGTCTTGTCCTAAGAGGGTGCAGCTCCACTATTTCGGCATCTTTGAAATATTATGATGCTGGATTGTTGACATGCACCACGACATCTGATTAAGATGGTGGGTTTGAACGACGACAACTACGTTCTTTCTTCGAAGATGCTACGTTGTGATCAGCCTCATCTAGCTCAAGCAACGCACCATCTTTAGACGGAGATTTGCTCATAGATCCTGTAAACAGTAACAAACCGTTATGTCCTATTTTTTGCTCGTGTCCCACAATATCACAATACCCCATAACTAGTGTTAGGCTGTCCATGAAGTAAAAATAGCAGAAATAAACGTGTGACAATGAAAATATTAAATATATAATGAGGAACGGTGAAAAATAGTACATCCTGAATACCGAATTCTACGACCGAATAATTACTCCTAAAACAAGAACGTATGTTTGAGAATAGATTTGAAAATGATCAAAGCGACCCTTGGATAACCTCGACCAAAACATTGTCCATAAGTTTCAAGCAGCATGATGACAATCTGAAGTCGAAAGCAATCCTCTGGAGGATCCAGCACGTCTTGCTGCAATTTACCTACAAAAGTGAAGCGGCAAGTAAGAATCGAAACCTGAAAGCAGATAAGATTTAGACAGAAATTTACAAATCCATTATTGGCAACAAAATAGCAACAAATAGTAACCCAACGGAATAAGATATCATTCATGCATGATCGCTTAATAGTCCCAGAAGTTGAGTTTTGGTTTCTGAACGAGCACAAACAAACCATTATATCTACTGCCAGTGCAGGCAACATCGACTGCGTAACAGTAAAAAATGTTGAGAGTTAAATCTACAACAGGAACAATGAGACGGAGTAAAGAACATACAAAAGCTGTAAGCAA